TACTACTACTACTACTACTACTACTACTACTACTACTACTACTACTACTACTACTACTACTACTACTACTACTACTACTACTACTACTACTACTACTACTCTTTCTCCTCCTCCTTCCTTATCTTTTCTTTTTTCCTCTTGCTCAGCTCTTCCGACTTCCCCTGGTCCTGCTGCTCCTCCCGCTCTTTTCACTCCAGTTCCTGCTGCTGCTGTTTGTTCTCGTCCTTTTCCTTCCTCGTCCGCTTTGTGTTCCTCTTGCTTATTGTCATGCTCACCCGCAACCTCCTCCTATACGCGCAGCTCCCCTTTTTTTCGATTGCGCATAACACGGTTGGCTCTTTTTCGGAGTTCCAGGTCGGCTATGGCACACGTCCGCGGATGGAGGGATGGGAGGGAGGGATATAATAATGTCACACATGGCGTGAGCGCACCTAGCTTAACTCCTCTTCCTGCCGTTCCTCCTCCTCCTCCTCCTCCTCCTCCTCCTCCTCCTCCTCCTCCTCCTCCTCCTACTCCCCTCTCTCGCTCCTCCGCTTCCTCCTCCTCCTCGCTCCTCCTCCTCCTCCTCCTCCTCCTCCTCTCCTCCGCCTCCTCCTCCGTCTCCTCCTCCTCCTTCCCCCCTCCTCCTCATTACTCCTCCTCCTCTGGGGGTTTTTTTTTTTTTTTTACGCTCCGCCTCCTCCTCCTCCTCCTCCTCCTCCTCCTCCTCCTCCTCCTCCTCCTCCTCCTCCTCCTCCTCCTCCTCCTCCTCCTCCTCCTCCTCCTCCTCCTCCTCCTCCCCCCCCTCCCTGGCGCCTGGCGCCCGTGGGGGCTGCGAGCCCGAGGCCCACCCGCCGCTGCCGTTCAGCCGCTCGCCCGGGGCCATCCGCCTGCGCACCCCGCCCCTGCTGGGCAGCCAGGCGCCCCGTCCGGCGGCCCGGGGGGCCCGCTGGGGCCTCGGGCTCGGGGGCGGCCAAGAGGGGGGTGGTGACTAGGATCGGGCCGAACGAAAGGGGGGATAGGGAAAGGGGGGGTTACGAAACCTGCTGCATGCGGCTGGTTTCGGCCCCGCCGCCGAGCCCATTCCTCGATACATGGCCGCCTCCGGCGCTGGGAGGCGCCGGGAAAATCAGCAATGTGAGCTGATTCTCCCCCCCCCCCTTTGCTATTCCCCCCTTTCGCCTGGCCCGACAGGAGGGTGTGGATATCATGTCGTGGGCCATGACATCAACCCAGATTTCGTGGCGCCTCTTCTCACTTCAAGACGTCCCCGGCCCCCCCCCCCATGGGCCGCGCACGTGCCGCCAGCCACGATTTGCGCCCCCCCGCACTCTTGGACGCCCCCCTCTTGTCCGCCCCCGACGGGCGTTGCGTGCCCAGACGTGTAACGTCTTGAAAATTCAGGGCGCATTTTCTTTCTCTCATTTTCGGCACTCAGACCCTCCTCCTCCTCCTCCTCCTCCACCTCCTCCTCCTCCTCCTCCTCCTCCTCCTCCTCCTCCTCCTCCCTCTCCTACCTCTGCCCTCCTCCAACCCTCCCTCTCCTCCATCTCTCCCTCCTCCTCCCTCTCGCCTTCCTCTCCTTCTTTTCTCTCTTCCTCCTCTTCTCCTCCTGTCCTCCTCCTTTCCTCTGAACTCTCTTTCATCGTGCATTGCGCGCTTCGGCCGGAATCTTTAAAACATCCGGCGGTTGCGTAAAGATGTCAAAACCGGTCTGTCTGGCTGTCTGGGACCGTCAGAAAACGACTCAGGACGAAAAACCGGCACTGGGGAAAGGGTGTGGGGACTTCCAGGGACCGCGTATGGGACAAATCAGGACGTCGCAGGTCTGCGTAATGTGGGGGCGACAAATGAGGGGGGTGAAGTAACTTGCACCTTTCGTGCACCTCAGGGGCCCCAAAGGGCTCCGTTTAGGCCCAAAAAGGAGCACGAAAGGTCCACGTTCCTTCGCCACCCTGCTAATCGCCCCCCCATAAGCAACGCGCAAGGGCAGGAGGTCACGCCAGCCAGGCGCTCGGCTCCGCCGCCGTCGCCGCCGCCGTCGCCTTCGCTGGCGCCTTCGCCGCCGCCGCTGCCGTCGCCGCCATCGCCGTCGCCGTTGCCGCCGCCGCCGCCGTCGCCGTCGCCTTCGCCGCCGCCGTCGCCGACGCCGCCACCATCGTCGTCCCCGAACCTCCTCTGGCGGCGTGAGTGCATGCTCGGAAGCTGGGAGCTCTGCACTACCATCGCCAGCCCTGGCCTTGGCCCATCCTGGCCCCCCGCCTGGCGCAAGTCTATTCTTTTTGGCCCATGCCAGTGTGGTCTGTGCAAAATAGAGCAGGACCTCCTCCTCCTCCTCCTCCTCCTCCTCCTCCTCCTCCTCCTCCTCCTCCTCCTCCTCCTCTTCGGGGGCCCAGGACGGACCTGGCCAGGGCCAGGCAGGAGCAGCGCCAGGGGGAGATGTGCTCAGGGGAGAAGGCAGGGACCGCCAGTCACCCATTCCATCGCCGACAGGGGCCCGATGGCCCACCCCGCCCGAGGACGTGGGGTTGCGCTGTCGGGGGCCCGTCGCCGACCCATCGGCGATGTGCCGCCGGGTCCAGGGCGATGCATCCCTCCCATCCCCCCTGGGTCGCTCCCCCACGACCGTGCCTCCTCAGATCGTTGGCGGTGCAGGGTTGCCCGTCTCCGACACGCGTGCCCTGCATTCCTCGCGCTCGCCGGCGGCGCGGCGAGGGGGGGAAGTGATGAGCGGGGGCTGGCCTTCTCCCCAGGCGGCGGTGCTCCAGAGAAGGCTGGCAAGGATGCTCAGAGGGCCAGGGGCGTTCCGAGCCTTCTGAGGAGGGCCCGCCCCCTTTGCCTCTCCCCCCCCCCCTGGGGCGCGCCGCTGAGCTTGCCATTCTCACGCGCTGGACGCCACGTCCGGGGAGCTGCGGAGAAGGCTGGTAGAGATGCTCAGAGGGCCCGGGGCGTTCCGAGCCTTCCGGGAGGGCCCGCCCCCGGTGCCTCCTCCCCACCCCTGGGGCGCGCCGCCGAGCCTGCCGTGCTTGTGCGCTGGGCGCCACGTCGGGCGAAGAGGGGGAGCCACAGGGAGGGCCCTCACGGCTGCGTGCCTCCGCCCCCCATAAAGGTGTCCACCTTGGCCTCGGGGGTTTCGGAAGGCCAAAGGCCCCATAAGCCCTCGTGGCCTCGAGGGCTTTGGAGGGCTGAAGGCTCCGAGGGCCTCGAGGGCTGCGGAGGCCTGAAGGCTTCGAAGGGCTGAAGCCCCCGAGGGCCTCGTGTCCCTCTTGGCCTCGAGGGCTTCGGAGGGCTGAAGGCCCCAGAAGCCCTCTGTGGCCTCTGGTAATGCAGAGGTGCCTTAACCCCACGAGAGTATGCAGGGACCAGACGTAGCTCTGGCGCCGACCCCCCTGAACCGCTTCTCCACCATCTCTCCCTCTCCCATCTCTCTCCCTGCCCTCCCCCTCTGCTCCTTCTACCCCTGTTCCCACATCCACCTCTTCCGCTCCTCTCCCTCTCTCTAGCCCACGCCTCCCCTGCACTCCTCGATCCGCCCCCCTCTTTCGCCTTTCTCCTCCCTCCATCTCCCTTCATCTCTCTCCATCTCCGTCCTCCATCTTTCTTCCATCACTTTACCTCTCTCCTCGGAACTATTTGTACTTGCTTGTTTGTGCTTGTTTGTTTCTTGGCAGTTCTTGTTGTTGTTACTGGTTCCTTCTTTCTTGGTCATTTCGTTCTCTCTCTCTCTCTCCCCCCCTTCCTCTTACATCCGCCACCGGGTTGAAAGGAATGGGGGCCCGTTTTCATTGGCCACCCGGCGCGGATTTTCAATTGCGCTCTATTGTTTGTCGTGTCTTCCCAGTTGTTTCTTCTCCTTGCCTCCTCCTTTCTGCTGCGTCCCGCTCGCTTCTGCCGCTACTCTCTGTTGTCGTCTGCGTTCAGGGAAACGTCGATACGAATGTCGTCATGCTTCGTGTCAGCGCGATCACGGCTTGCTTCGTTGTGAAGGCACGCGTGCACGTGAGCGCCCCTTGATCAGGCAGCTAGTTGCATGGGCCGAGCGAAACCGAAGCTGGCGGGCATTGCTGCGCAGGGGGCGCCTATGCACCACCCCCATGGCCCTCTGTGCCCTCTGTGCATAGGTGCTCCAGGGCGGTTGTGCATAGGTGCCCTCCGTGCATCCCTCAGGCTCTATTTCGGTCCGATCGATCTGATTCGACATCGATTCTGGCCGGCTCGATCCGGCTCGATTCCGAAATTCCAGGGATCCGCTGTGGGCCGATGCTTGCATGGCGCTATTGTGCACCCTGGCGCAGCCGACGCACACTCCGACGCACATTCCAATGGCATCCGATTTCCCGATTCGATGCCGACTTGTCGCACCCCACCCCCTGCCAGAGCCCACGCCTCCACGGCAGCGACGACCCCGGCGCGGGCGTGCAAGGCGGACCGCCGCCAGTGACCCCGAGGTCGGTCGACATCGAACGATCTGCGCCATCGGGAAGCCGCGATGGCTCGAGGCTGAATGTCCACGCGGTGTCAGAACAACCAGCGCCGAAGTCGCCGCGCTCCCGAGCGAAGTGACCCCCCCCTCCCCCTCAGAAATCGTGTGGGGTGGGGGTAGGAGGTAGGAGGGGAGGGGTAGGGGCAGGAGGAGGAGGAGGCGGAGGAGGAGGAGGAGGAGGAGGAGGCGGAGAAGGAGGGGAGGAGGAGGAGAAGGAGGGGAAGGAGGGGGAGGAGGAGGGGCAGGGGAGGGGGGGGGAGAGAGGAGGAGGAGGAGGAGGGGAGGAGGGGAGGAGGGAGGAGGAGGAGGAGGAGGAGAGGAGGAGGAGGAGGATGGGAGGAGGAGAGGAGGAGGAGGCGGAGAGGAGGGAGGAGGAGGAGGAGGAGGAGGAGGAGGAGGAGGGAAGGAGGAGGAGGAGGAGGAGGAGGAGGAGGAGGAGGGGGAGGAGGAAAAGGAGGAGTAGGAGTAGGAGTAGGAACCAGTGGCGGAGCCAGTCAATAATAAATTTTGGGCTTAAACCTCAGGGCACAGAGAAACCTTCCGCTGCCGCCGTTCTTGGTCGGCCTTGCTTAGGGCTTTGGGCGCGAGCCCGTCTCTAATGCGATCAAGGTAAACCCTACCCGTGGGAGTTATATCCGTGCAAGCCTTCCCGAGGGGCCGAAGCTGCTGGTCCGAGAAAGCTCCACATCGGCCACAGAACCAAATTTTGAGCGCAGTATGGTAATTAAGGGGATGGGAGGGGTGTAGCCAGCCCCCCGCGACGTGAATACGACCCCCCACAGCTGGAGACATCAGCGTGCCATTCACATTTACAAGTGGGGGGCGCACTGAGTTCCAGAATTCAGCAGTCGTGGCTTTTGTAGCCGAACCGAAACACTTCGAACACTTCTGTTTGCACTCCGAGAGCCTGTGAGCCGAGAGGAGCGGGGCGAGAGCAACAGCAGCGGGGGGGCGGGGAAGGGGAGGAGGGGGAGGCGGGACCCCCTCTCGTTTCCTGTCCCGCGCTTCCAAGGCCACGGTTTTCTCAGCAACGAAACAATCGAGGGTAGCTTTGAGCAACCTCGTTCGGACCAAAAGAGCCCGCCTTTCGTGAATCTGAATTTGCTGTCGGACCGACTCGGGGATCCTGCGCGCCAATGCTGCCGCACCAGCTATTTCATCTACAACAGTATTGGCTAGCACGAGACTGCTGGTCGCCCGCCCTGCACATATATCCTCCTCGTCTTGGTGACTGGGAGTGAAGAGCACAGAAACGCAGTGATGGGGGCGGTGGAGCATCAGCTGTCTAATGATAGCCCACAGATCGGCGTCAGGTCCCTTCGGTGATCTGCACGCGCATTCGTACCAACTGTTGGCCAGGGGTTCAAAATCAGTTATATACACTAGATGGTCGAGGGTCGTTTTAAGAGCTAGCATAAAAGCACACAACTCGCCTCTGGCAA